CCTTGTACCATGTGACAAGCTGTGACCAATCACAGCTCTCACAGTATTTCTCAATGGCTGCAAGAATGCAGCCAGAGAGAAGGAGAAATGATTGCTTATATTTTTTTCAGGTACTTATATAGCGCCATCAATTTACACAGCGCCTAACTTACATTCATACATACATACACACACATACTATGGACAATTTAGACAGGAGCCAATTAACCTACCAGCATGTCTTTGGAGTGTGGGAGGAAACTGGAGTACCTGGAGTAAACCCACGCAGACACAGGGTGAACATGCAAACTCCAGGCAGGTGGTGCTGTGGCTGGGATTTGAACCAACAACCCTAGTACTGCCAGGCGGAAGTGCTAACCATTTAGCCACTGTGATGCCCCACTTGTTGGTGTGTAATGGGTGTAAAAGCAATCAGTGTTAAAAAAAAAAAAAAAAAAAAAAATCATCACCCCCCCACAAGTAGTACAGTGTCACTACTACTACTTACAGATCTGTGCAGTAATCCATTGTGAAACTTTCCCCAAGTGCAGGAGCTTCCTGTAATAAAGACCAGTCACTGCTTCTTCCTCTCCTTGTCCAGGATGATTGGTCTGGTCTCCGCCCCCCTCCTGTAGTTTTCTGAAGGCAGTTTGTAGTGGGTGGAGCTCCTAGGTCACTCCCACAGCCCTGCTCTTTTGTACAGGCTATGTACAGCACAGTGATGATGCCACTGCTACCTTTATATGGTAAGATTTGGGTTTGAAAAAGTGTTTTGTGCATACAAACTGGATTTACTGTATATCCTCTCTGGCTACTGACTATACTTAAAGCAAAACTAAACCCTCCTATTCTTTATATCCAAGGAAGCTGTCATCTTAACCTCATATTTGATTTGCAGTTGCCATAGTGCTGCACATGTGATCAGGAATGACACCAACCATTTGATGGTTTGACAGTTCAGTTGAGAGCACAAACTACTGTGCCAGTTATTATTCGCAGCATGCTTTAACCACCGCAAGTGGTTAAAGAGGTATTAAATACAACAATACCTAATACTGTATATTGCAGCCTACCAATCCTAAATGTGGTTGCTACTTTCATATTCTATTTTTTGAGGCTTGTTTCCTTTATTTTCACTGTCCTGTAATACACCTTCTGTCTTAGGCTAAGGCAGTGTTTCTCAACTCCAGTCCTCATGGACCCCCAACAGGTCATGTTTTCAGGATTTCCATTATTTTGCACAGGTGATTTGATCAGTTTCACTGCCTTAGTAATTACTACAGCTGTTTCATCTGAGGGAAATCCTGAAAACATGACCTGTTGGGGGTCCATGAGGACTGGAGTTGAGAAACACTGGGCTTGCATTAGGCTTGCATCTAAAACAGTCACACCTCTGAAATGCATTTGGCATTTGAAACACTTTTCACCGGCATTTGACAGGCAACAAGAAGGCGAAGCGACTTTTCTTTACTGCCTGATTTAACCCTGTAATTGCCGCACCAACAAGCCACAACTGCATACAACCATGTGGGTCAATTTGCAGAGCTTTCCTATTCACTTGAATGGGTCACATTCAGCAGTGGCACTGCCTACTGAGCGACACAAGAGCAATAGTTTTTGGCACAGACCTGAAGCAAAGCATCATGACCGCGGAAATCAAACACTCCTGTCTGTTGCCTTTGCAACTCCCATCTGCAAATCTAAATGAGCCCTTACTGTGTTGGTTACAGAAACAGTTTTTTTTTTCCTTTTTTATTAAAAGCTGACCAGTGTAAGTACCCCTGCTAGTGTTAAAGCAGAACTAAACCCTCCTATCCTTGTCAGCCAAGGAGGCTGCCATCTTAGCTTCTGTTTGCTCTGCAACTGCCATGATGCTGCACATGTGATCAGTAATGACACCAACCATTTGATGGTTTGACAGTTTGGTTGAAAGCACAACCAATCTGACAGTTTGCATTTCTGGCATGCCAGGACTGTAACTGCTTTTTTGAAACTGTTAAATTGATGGGTTTAGTTCCACTTTAAATGGTTTGTCACAACCCTCTCAACTGCCACTTTTCTTGGACCGCTTAATCTGTTAAAGGAAGTTTAAAAATAACAGACTCACTGGTCAGATCACCAGCTGAAAATACAGGAAAAAAGAAAACTAATGCAAGTCACCACATCTAAGACTAGGCAAGTTGCAATATATTACATTTTCAGCTTTGTGTTTAATGTGAAACTAAACCTTCCTATTCTTTTCAGCCAAGGTTACTGCCATCTTAGCTTCTGTTTGAACTGCAACTGCCATAATGCTCCACATGTGACAAGTTATGAACAGGCTATTTGATGGTTTGAGAGTTTGGTTGAGAGCACAAGCAAATGTGACAGTTAGCCTTCACGGCAGACCGGGTATGTAACAGTTGTTTTAAACTGTTAAATTGATGGGTTTAGTTCCACTTTAATACCATTTTAAGTGTAACTGTTTTGGGAAATAGTTAAATCAATGGTTTCAGCTGAGAGCTTAGCTTTAAAACCCAGAGATGACCAGTATTTTTGTTAAAAAAAAAAAAAAAAAAAAAGTTTCTCATGTTCACATTCAGTTGTTCTCAAACAGGAAGGCTGTGGAGCACAAAAGCTATACAGCTCCACCCAGAAGTATACTAAATCCATCTGAAAGGGATTAGAAGAACTCAGATTAAAGGTAAATAGTCTGAATGGTCTGACTTTAGAACAGCTGTTTCCAGGATAAGATTATCAGTTCAATTTAATTTATGGAGTTATTCTTGAAGGGAACCTGTTAGAATAAGGCTACCTTCACACTGCTCCCTTGCAAAAAAGCAGTAAAAATGCATATGCATTTTTTTAAGCACTTCTGACCCCTGCATTCTGTGTTTTTCACGATCCTGAACGATTGTGCATTACATACTCCGGACCTCTGCACTCTGTGCATTAAGCACTCCTGACCTTTGCACTCTCTACTTCTGGACCCTATGAAATATGCACCCTGACCTTTATGAATTTTGTACTCCTGACACCTATACTTTGTATGTTAATTACTCTTGACCCTTTGCACTCTGTATGTTGCATACTCCTGTCTCCTACATGCTGTGTATTACAATACTTCAGAGCCCTGCATTCGGTGCACTCCATACTCCTGACCCCTGCCCTTTGTCCAATATGCACTGCTGACTTATGCACCCTGTGCATGACAAATGCCTCAGTCCTTCATTCTTTGTGATATATATATACACTTACCTCTGCACTCTGTGCATTAAGGTGGGATTCCAGGCTAGAACTAAGCTTAACCTTGCTCCCATCCCCCTTCTAACACCTATACTAACTACCCTGTAGAAGGAAGATGCGTATACAGTACTTACCTATTTGTAGGGCACTCTGGTCCAGCCATGTGATCAGCTACCAGCGCCTGGCTTCAGGGGAAACCAGCAAAGGCGGACAATGGATGTCCCATAGTAAGCCTATGGGTAACGTCATCACATAGACATTTCATTCGTTGTGGGCGCTCTATCCTCTCCCCTGAAGCCATACACTTGGGAGATCACATGACCAGACTGAAGCGCCGTGAGAATAAGAAAGAATAATAAGTATATGAATCTTCCTTTTACAGGGTAGTATAAATGTTAGAAATAGGGAGGGAGCAGTTTTAATCTTAGTTAGTTCTAGACTGGAATTTCACTTTAAGCACTCCTGAACCTTGCACTTTGTGTGATACACACTCCTGACTTCTGTGCATTACACAATCCTGTCCCCTACACCATCTTGTACATTTCATACCATATGCCACCTCTGGACACAGGAGCACTCCGATCCATTATGCTCAATCCGCAGATCTGATCCATCCTGCGGGGATCGTCGGAGGGGTGACACCAAGTGTTACCGTACTGGGTGACACCAACCCTAGGGACACCCCTGCAACCGGTAAAGGTGAATAATATTTTTTATAATTGGTGGACTGCACGGTTATTATTTCGTATCACAGCCTAGAAGAAGTGTCAAGGTCACGGACTTAATAAGGACATGTTTGCAGCAATAATATATTTGCAGAGATATTGATATGTATTCTTTCGATGCTGGGCTATTATTATTTATTTAATACTCATTTATTCACAATTTTGCAATTGGTAGTGGAACGCGACACTATTTCTGATTTTATTGTATCCTGGGCCAGTCCTTGTAAATAATCTAATTTAACCACTTGCATGAGAGGTTAACATGAACAGCGCTGGTGCCTGTCATTGATATGTATGGGCTGCTGGCTATGACTGTTCACATGCAATGTGTGCATGCCCCCAACCAGAATCGCTAATTTTCATCAGCAGCTACCCTAGATCATCCATTTGAATGCGTTCTTATAAGGTGACAAAAATGCTCTGTCTCTGCCTCCAAATTGTGCTCCTGCATTGTCATGCTGTCACATGGGTTTCAAAGAAGAGACCACAATTGGCTGTTTGGTCCGCTGTTGTCACCACCAATAAAGCTGCCATGAGAAAGGCCAGGCAGACATTACTAAGGTGCACGTATGGTGGCAGCAAGCATCTGCAAAGAGGCTGCAGGAGATCAGCAGTACAGCAATGCAGCAAATAGGTGAAAACAAGTATTAGGAATGATTGCTATGGCTCTGCATTTTGTACACGGTTCTCCTACCAGAATGAACAGACCCATTAGACTATATATACAGCCAAAGCCTTGGGTGCTGATGCTGGCAGCCAGTCTACTGGCAATGTGAACAGAAGCCACCTGGCTGCATGTGCCTTGTTATCTGTAGTGTACACACAGGTTCCCCACTCAGGAATACCACCCTGGATGTGTGCACAGCTGGGAACTCCTGACAGCTCCATCTGGGAACTCCTCCACCCTCCTCTGTTCCCAGACTCAACCGACATTTGATGCTGATCAATGAATTGCTGATCATCTTTACTGAACAAATGTATCCCAAATCTATAAATGAACTTCCCAACTCCCTCCACTCAGCAATCTGAGCCCAGCACTGCTTTGTGCCCCTGCATTCCCTCTGATCTCACCTTGTTAGTGAAGTAAGAGGCCAGATAGAAGGAGCAGAAGGTCAGACCCACCGCAGGTCCCCCTAAAATACATCTGTCACCGCATTCCACTGCTCCGATCGCTCCTTATTCCTCCACTACCACCAGGGCAGGAAAAGGATCAGCAGCAGGCTGCCATGACACTTACACGTTGCTCTGCGCCTTCTCCAATCAGCGTTCGGCATTTCCTTACACGCCCCGCCTCTCTTTAGCTACACAAGCTTCTATGGGCGGGCCCTGGATGATGATTTACATATCTCCGCCCACCATTTAAAGCAGCCCTGCATCAAGTCTCTGGAATCCCGGGGAAGCTGGTGATTGTTTTTATCGGGAACATTGGGATCGTATCGGGCTGTCAGCTGTAGTGACAGGAGAAGGCTCATAGCGCTGAAACTCCATCCAAAGAGTCAAACGAATGCAGTTGATTATTTCCAAAATGTATCAAAGTGGATCTCTAGCAAAATAGCAAACTTTTTTTAATAAATGTGATTCTTGTGAGCAACTATGGTGTATACTTTAAGTGAATATATGTATAAAATATCTACCAGTTTATTTAATATATCATCGTGTGATTGATATATGTGCAATGAATCAATTAAACTAGTATACAAATTATTAAGTATATACATAAATAATTAAATAAAAGAAAAATGTGGGTCGCCTAAACTATACACATACTCATACCATTGTGTCTAAACAAATCAAAACTCGTGGTGTCGCGCTCCACTATCAGTATAATTAAATATACATATAAATATATGAATAATATAAATTATATTAGATGAATAAATTGCAGCAAATTAAATAATTATATAAAATATCAATTATATCAAATATCAATTAAATTCAGGTCTGGTATGGATTTTGAGGGGAACCCCACACCAAAATTTTAAAAAAATTGGCGTGGGGGTCCCCCCCAATTCCATACCAGACCCTTATCTGCAGCCCGGCAGGTCAGGAAAGGGGGGACGAGTGAGTGCCCCCCCTTCCTAAACCATACCAGGCCACATACCCTCATGGTGGTTGTGGGGGTCTGTGAGCAGGGGGCTTATCGGAATCTGGAAGCTCACTTTACAAAGGGGGGCATCCAGATCTCACACCCCCCCTTCCACGTGAATGAGTATGGGGTAAATGGTACCGCCACCCATACACAAAAAAAAGGTGTAGTGTAAAAATGTGGTCAGGTGCATTGATTTGGCCAATCACAATGCACTGTCAGGGCGCAGTGTATTGTGGGGCGTGGCAGGCAAAAAGCCTGCCGAATGTCCTTACCGTTCATGTGTTCACCGAACACATGACCGGCCCATGTTTGAGTCGAACTTACAGTATGTTCAACTGGAACATGAAGCCCAACCCTAGTAGTGAGATGTATGTGGAGTCTTGCTGTCACAAAGATGTGTAAAAAAATGGTCAGTGGAGCATCTCAGCCCATACAATGTGATGATGTCAGACAATGTGCCCTGCTCTATGCAAATAATGTCCTCAGGGGAACCAGGAAGCTTTGAAACATGTAGACAGGAGCCCATTTCTGACGTCATCACTCACTGCACGTGCTCGCTGCACAGCAGGTTCCAATTTGTATATTCATGGCTGTTACTTCGTGAGTATATCTGCTGGTGAATAAATTCAAGTTGATTTACAATATCATACTATTTGCAGTTTGCTATTCTATTAATTATATTGCATACTGAGCATTTTGGATGGTCTGTGGAAAGCAGGGGCGGACTGACAACTCATGGGGCCCCCGGGCAATAGGGGATCATGGGGCCCCTGTGTCCTTGCCCAAACTCAAGCCTATGAAAAAGGTACCAGGGAATCTCATGGGCCCCCCCTACTGACCCCGGGCCCTCGGGCAGTGCCCGAGTTTCCAAATGGTCAGTACGCCTCTGGTGGAAAGTATTCTGAATGTGACCAATCTGATGCCAGCCACAGGGAGACGTGCCCACAGCTACACACACACGAATTTACACACCATTTTTATCTAAGGAATATAACTACATTTTTTTACATTATATTACTTTCTGTATTCTAATATTTTATTTGTAATTTTATGCAATTTTATGATTAAATCCATTTATGAGTTTTTGCACAAGAACTGGAAGGACTTTCTATTTTTAACTTTTCTCACCTATATAAGATTACAGAAGATCGAGACTAATCGATACTTATCATTGGGATATACAGTGTATCTATATATATGTACTGTGTAACTGGTGTGATGCGCTAACATGTGAAACACGGCAACCTTGCTCTTCTTTCCCCCACTGTATGGCATACCACTTTTGGAATTTTATGCATTAATAAAGAGGATCTGTTTTTTTTATTTTGGACTGCGGCCATCTGGGATTTCTCTCTTACTAGCAACACAGTTTGTTCTCTTTGCACTCTTGTTACATTGTGGTGATAGCACTACATATATGTTTTGATCCTTTTTAGTTTCATGAATTGTATTTGTTCAGTCACTAGAACATTTTGTTTAAAGAGACAGCTTTGTGTTGATATGTTATATGTATGTTTATACATCTGTTGCAGGGGTCTGCAATGTTTTCAAACAAAGGCCCTTGTTACTGTCCTTCAGGCTTTAGGGGAGCTGGACTGTGGCCAGAGAGAGTAGAAAATACTCCATCATTGGTGTTAGTGGGAGGAATAATGCCCCATGGTTGGGTTTAGTGGGAGGAATAGTGCCCCATCATTGGGTTTAGTGGGAATAATTGTGCACCATTGTTGGAATTAGTGGGAGGAATAGTACCCCATCATTGGGTTTAGTGGGAATAATTGTGCACCATTGTTGGAATTAGTGGGAGGAATACTGCCCCATCATTGGGTTTAGTGGGAGGAATAGTGACCCATCATTCATTTTAGTAGGAGGAATAGTGCCCCATCATTGGTTTTAGTGGGAGGAATAGTGCCCCATCATTGGTTTTAGTGGGAGAAATATTGCCCCATCGTTGGGTTTAATGGGAGGAATAGTGCCCCATCATTCATTTTAGTAGGAGGAACAGTGCCCCATCATTGGTTTTAGTGGGAGGAATAGTGTCCCACCATTGGTTTAAGTGGGAGGAATAATGCGCCATTGTTAGTTTAGTGGGAGGAATAGTGTCCAATCATTGATTTTAGAAGAAGGAATAGTGCCCCATGGTTGGAAGTAGTGGGAGTAATAATGACCAATTGTTAATTGTAGTGGGAGGAATAGTGCCCCATTGTTGGGTTTAGTGGGAGGAATAGTACCCCATTGTTGGAATTATTGGGAGGAATAGTGCCCCATGGTTGGAATTAGTGGGAGGAATAGTGCCCCATGGTTGGAATTAGTGGGATGAATAGTGCCCCATCATTCATTTTAGTAGGAGGAATAGTGCCCCATCATTGGTTTTAGTGGGAGGAATAGTGCCCCATCATTGGTTGTAGCGGGAGGAATAGTGCCCCATGGTTGGAATTAGTGGGAGGAAAAGTGCCCCATGGTTGGTTATAGCAGGAGGAATAGGGCCCCATGGTTGGAATTAGTGGGAGTAATAGTACCCCATCGTTGGTTGTAGTGGGAGGAATAGTGCCCCATCGTTGGTTGTAGTGGGAGGAATAGTGCCCCATGGTTGGGTTTAGTGGGAGGAATAGCGCCCCATCGTTGGTTGTAGTGGCAGGAATAGTGCCCCATGGTTGGATTCAGTGGGAGGAATAGTGCCCCATGTTTGGAATTAGTGGGAGGAATAGTGTTCCATGGTTGGGTTTAATGGGAGGAATAGGGTCACATTGTTGGTTGTAGTGGCAGGCATAGTGCCCCATGGTTGGATTAGTGGGAAGAATAGTGCCCCATGGTTGGAATTAGTGGGAGGAATAGTGTCCCATGGTTGGATTTAATGGGAGGAATAGGGCCACATTGTTGGTTTTAGTGGCAGGAATAGTGCCCCATGGTTGGATTTAGTGGGAGGAATAGTGCCTCATGGTTGGATTTAGTGGGAGGAATAGTGCCCCATGGTTGGAATTAGTGGGAGGAATAGTGCCCCATGGTTGGAATTAGTGGGAGGAAGAGTACCCCATGGTTGGGTTTAGTGGGAGGAACAGTGCCCCATCATTGGTATTAGTGGGAGGAATAGTGCTCCATTGTTGGGTTTAGTGGGAGGAGTAGTACCCCATTGTTGGAATTAGTGGGAGGAATAGTGCCCCATGGTTGGAATTAGTGGGAGGAATAATGCCCCACTGTTGGGTTTAGTGGGAGGAATAGTGCCCCATCGTTGGTTTTAGTGGGAGGAATAGTGCTCCATTGTTGGTTGTGGTGGGAGGAAATAGTGTCCCATGGTTGGAAATAGCGGGAGAAATAATGCCCCATTGTGGGGTTTAGTGGGAGGAATAGTGCCCCATTGTGGGGTTTAGTGGGAGGAATAGTGCCCCATGGTTGGAATTAGTGGGAGGAATAGTGCCCCATGGTTGGGTTTAATGGGAGGAATAGGGCCACATTGTTGGTTTTAGTGGCAGGAATAGTGCCCCATGGTTGGATTTAGTGGGAGGAATAGGGCCTCATGGTTGGATATAGTGGGAGGAATAGTGCCCCATGGTTGGAATTAGTGGGAGGAATAGTGCCCCATGGTTGGAATTAGTGGGAGGAATAGTACCCCATTGTTGGGTTTAGTGGGAGGAACAGTGCCCCATCATTGGTATTAGTGGGAGGAATAGTGCTCCATTGTTGGGTTTAGTGGGAGGAATAGTACCCCATTGTTGGAATTAGTGGGAGGAATAGTGCTCCATTGTTGGAATTAGTGGGAGGAATAATGCCCCATCATTGGGTTTAGTGGAAGGAATAGTGCCCCATAGTTGGGTTTAGTGGGAGGAATAGTGCCCCATTGTTGGAATTAGTGGGAGGAATAATGCCCCATCACTGGTTTTAGTGGGAGGAATAGTGCCCCATCGTTGGTTGTAGCGGGAGGAATAGTGCCCCATGGTTGGAATTAGTGGGAGGAATAGTGCCCCATGGTTGGTTATAACAGGAGGAATAGGGCCCCATGGTTGGAATTAGTGGGAGGAATAGTACCCCATCATCGGTTGTAGTGAGAGGAATAGTGCCCCATCGTTGGTTGTAGTGGGAGGAATAGTGCCCCATCGTCGGTTGCAGTGGGAGGAATAGTGCCCCATCGTTGGGTTTAGTGGGAGGAATAGTGCCTCATGGTTGGGTTTAATGGGAGGAATAGTGCCCCATGAGATATAAAAGGTATAGTGAGCGCTTCAGGGTCAGTAATTTTGTTTTCCTGCACTATATATATTTATTTTTGGGCATTTGCCAGCACCATTACTGATTTACCCTGCACTAAGTCTGTTACCAATAAAGTTCTTTTGACATACTACACTATGGGTACTCTTCCAGTTTTTGCCCCTTACTGAGGGGGGTCAGCAGACACAGCTTCCAACTATATCCAGAGGAGGGAAGCCTTCACCTGAAGGGATTCTTTATCCGGTCGATCCATCCTGATCCTAAGGAGGTCCTGTGAGCCCAGCAGACTATCGTTTGATGATACCCCTTCCTGAGGGAGATCGATATCTGTGGAATTTAATACACACATACGCATTTCCTATACGAGGTTGGTGAGTGCGCATTTCTCTGCCATTTCTTCCGGATTCCTCATAGCTGTGTCCACTTTATAATATCGATGATTTAACGAACATTTGATAACAAATTCCAGATCAAACTTTTTAGATCGAACTTTTTGCTTGTTGTTTTTAGCGCTGCACTATATTATCTAATAGTGCCCCATGGTTGGGTTTAATGGGAGGAATAGTGCCCCATGGTTGGTTGTAGCAGGAGGAATAGGGCCCCATGGTTGGAATTAGTGGGAGGAATAGTGCCTCATGGTTGGGTTTAGTGGGAGGAATAGTGCCCCATGGTTGGTTGTAGCAGGAGGAATAGGGCCCCATGGTTGGAATTAGTGGGAGGAATAATGCCCCACTGTTGGGTTTAGTGGGAGGAATAGTGCCCCATCGTTGGTTTTAGTGGGAGGATTAGTGCTCCATTGTTGGTTGTAGTGGGAGGAATAGTGTCCCATGGTTGAAAATAGCGGAGAAATAATGCCCCATTGTGGGGTTTAGTGGGAGGAATAGTGCCCCATTGTGGGGTTTAGTGGGAGGAATAGTGCCCCATTGTGGGGTTTAGTGGGAGGAATAGTGCCCCATTGTTGGAATTAGTGGGAGGAATAATGCCCCATTGTTGGATTTAGTGGGAGGAATAGTGCCTCATTGTTGGAATTTTTGGGAGGAATAATGCCCCATTGTTGGGTTTAGTGGGAGGAATAGTGCCCCATTGTTGGAATTAGTGGGAGGAATAATGCCCCATCATTGGGTTTAGTGGGAGGAATAGTGCCCCATTTTTGGGTTTAGTGGGAGGAATAGTGCCCCATTGTTGGAATTAGTGGGAGGAATAGTTCCCCATCACTGGTTTTAGTGGGAGGAATAGTGCCCCATCGTTGGTTGTAGCGGGAGGAATAGTGCCCCATGGTTGGAATTAGTGGGAGGAATAGTGCCCCATGGTTGGTTATAGCAGGAGGAATAGGGCCCCATGGTTGGAATTAGTGGGAGGAATAGTACCCCATCGTCGGTTGGAATTAGTGGGAGGAATAGTGCCCCATCGTCGGTTGTAGTGGGAGGAATAGTGCCCCATCGTCGGTTGTAGTGGGAGGAATAGTGCCCCATCGTCGGTTGTAGTGGGAGGAATAGCGCCCCATCGTCGGTTGTAGTGGGAGGAATAGCGCCCCATCGTCGGTTGTAATGGGGGGAATAGCGCCCCATTGTCGGTTGTAATGGGAGGAATAGCGCCCCATCGTTGGTTGTAGTGGGAGGAATAGCGCCCAATCGTTGGTTGTAGTGGGAGGAATAGCGCCCAATCGTTGGTTGTGGTGGGAGGAATAGTGCCCCATCGTTGGTTGTGGTGGGAGAAATAGTGCCCAAACGTTGGGTTTAGTGGGAGGAATAGTGCCCCATCGTTGGTTGTAGTGGGAGGAATAGTGCCCCATTGTTGGTTGTAGTGGGAGGAATAGTGCCCCATCGTTGGGTTTAGTGGGAGGAATAGTACCCCATGGTTGGAATTAGTGGTAGGATAAATGCCCCATGGTTGGAATAGTGGGAGGAATAGTGCCCCATGGTTGGTTGGAGAAGGAGGAATAGGGCCCCATGGTTGGAATTAGTGGGAGGAATAGTGCCCCATCATTGGGTTTAGTGGGAGGAATAGTGCCCCATCTTTGGTTGTAGTGGGAGGAATAGTGCCCCATGGTTGGTTGTTGAAGGAGGAATAGGGACCCATGGTTGGAATTAGTGGGAGGAATAGTGCCCCATCATTGGGTTTAGTGGGAGGAATAGTGCCCCATCGTTGGTTGTAGTGGGAGGAATAGTGCCCCATGGTTGGAATTAGTGGGAGGAATAGCGCCCATCGTTGGTTGTAGTGGGAGGAATAGCGCCCCATTGCTGATGTTAGTTGGAAAAATGATGCCTCTTTTCTGTCAGTGAGAGGAATAGTGGCTAAATGGCCAGTAGACAGGCAAAGGGCCACACTTCTGGGACCATTTATCTATTGGACAGCTGTTTGTTGATATTTATGTGGGACAGCTGTGTTTTGGTGAAAGCAGTGATAATTTCTCTGAAAGTGATGGCACTAGTGCAGGGTTGATTCGGGGTGTAGAACTGTGATTATTTCACACAGGACAGTATGTCATTTAATGATCTTGAACACATAGGGCAGCATGGCATATACTGCCTGTCATGACAACATGATATAATAGGATCCATAACAAAGACGTCATGCATCCAGTAAGGAGTGCCATCTCCATAGTAACACATAAAGTGTCTCCTATGTACACACCCGGTTTTACAATTCTATAATGACAGCCTGTCACGCACACCCCCACGCCCACACTGTCCACGCTCTGTGCGACTGACTAAGTACGGGTGACGTCAGTCAGCAGATCGGACACTAGAGCACGCCGAATACAGCCTTATTGGTAGACATTTTACCGGAGTTCCTTAGTAAATGACCTGGAGAAAAGTCAACAATATGGAATAACATTGTTCTATCGCTTTGTTCAGCGACCTTCCATTTATAATAAGGAATGTTCGACCACTTTAGTGTGTCATTTCTATAACTCTTTTACTGATATGTGGCGGGAAATGAAGCCGGCACGAGAACAGAAAAGTCCGTTCTGTCAGGTCTACCAATCACATTCCTCAGCGGTGAGGACATGCCGTGTGCAGGAGGGCGGTCCTGGGGCAGGGGGAGGAGAAAGATCAGGCTACTCCCAGAGTGCATTGCGTTGTTCCGTCATCCCGGTATAGTAGTCGATTATCCCGACTGTCAGCCCACACACCGAGTCCAGCCGCTGTCTGTGAGTGATCTCAGCTATCTACCGGAAGCAGGACAACCCTCGGCCATCCCCTCCGCCTTGATATATCTATACAGCCAGTGACGTCCATAGAGGAGCGCGGAGAGACAAGTCCGGACATCTCCTGTACTGAGCACAGTCTGCCTTCTCTGTACATCGCCGCTACGACCACCCCACCGACCATTCCTTCCACACCCAGTGCCCACTCTAGTCTGAATGAGAAGATGGAGCAAGGGGGAATCATCGCACCCGAATCCCGGCCGGTGAGACAGCCACCCTCTACTACCCATTGGCCTATCTCTGTGTATATATGTCCCTGGCACAGCTGGTGTCACACGAAGCCCATGTCCGGAGAAGGACACGGCTGCCATATTGTCCTCCTTGGACCAGCCGGCCTCTGCTGCCCATGTGACTGGGGAGAAGGTTAAAGGGGAACTCTAGGCTAGAACGAACTCCCACCCCTGCTAACACCGATACGTACTGCTCTGTAGAAGGAAGATGTGTATACCTAGCTATTCTCCCAATGCTCTGTGCCGGTCATGTGACCAGCTCCCAGTGCTGGAGACGATGGATGCCCTATAGCAGTGGTCTCCAAACTGTGACCCGGGGCCAGATGTGGCCCTTTTCTTGCTTTTATCCACTGACACCAGCAATAGGGCATAATTCTCCCCCCCCCCCCCCCCCCCAGCAATACTAGTGATTGGAGCACAATTCCTCCCAACGACGCCAGTGATGGGGCACAATTCCAATGACGCCAGTGATGGGGCACAATTCCAATGACGCCAGTGAAGGGGCACAATTCCTCCCAATGACGCCAGTGGGACACCAATGATGGGGTACAATTCCTTCCAATGACACCAATGATGGGGAACAATTCCTCCCAATGACGCCAGTGATGGGGCACAGTTCCTCCCAGTGATGCCAGTGATGGGACCCAATTCCTCCCAATGATGGGGCACAATTCCTCCCAATGATGGGGCACAATTCCTCCCAATGACACCAGTGATGGGGCACAATTCCTCCCAATGATGGGGCAGGGTTCCACTCAATGACACCAACTATGGGGCACAATTCCTTCCAATGACACCAATGATGGGGCCCAATAACACCAATGATGGGGAACAATTCCAGTGACACAATGATGGGACACAGTTCCTCTCATTAGTACAAAAAATGGGGCATTGTTTGCTCCCACTGTTACTGGATCATTTTCTATTTGAAATGTCCACAGTTCGGCCCCCCTAAAGCATGAAGTACAGTAAACTGGCCCTTTTGTATGTAAAGTTTGGAGACCCCTGCCCTGTATTAAGCCTATGGGTGATGTCACCACCCGGCCATTTCATCAGGTGTCTGTAATCTCTCCTCTCCCCTGAAAGTAGGTGCTGGGGAGATCATGTGATCAGACCGGGGCTCTCAGAGAATAGGTAAGTATAAGTATCTTCCTTCTATGGAGTAGTCAATATAGGAGTTAGAAGAGCAACGGAAGCTGGTTTAGGCTTCGTTAGATCTAAACGTGTGCACTATGTTTTGCAAGTTCAGGTGCGACTTTCATAGACATCTACGCAATGAAGTCGCACAGATGTCTTCCAAGTTGGACTGACCTCAAACTTTGAAATCGTGCAAATTCAAGTGAAGTCGCCCGATTTCAAAGTCAGATTCAGTGTGACCGAAGACTAAAGTTAATGTGGTTGTAAACCCTCTGATGTAAAATATGACCAAACCATATCCCTCTATAATGTCTACTTGCCTCAGTATCCCTCTATAGTGTGTACTTGCCTCAAGAGCACTAAGTGTCATTTCTGTCTGCTGCTTCTTCCCTCTGCTATCTGCACAAATCACTTCTGACAAGGTTTCTTGACACCAGGAGAAAAACGGTGACAGGGGAATGACCTCCAGCAGATTGACAGCCTCAGCTCTGTTCCTATGAGCTTTGTGGAGAGTGGTGTGTCTCTTCCCTCCAATCATTTATAAGAATTCTCTTCACTGAGCTCTGCAGAGTGTAATTTCAGCTTTCTGACCCCCTTTTTTTTTTTTTCTGAACTCTGACAAGCCTATTAATTCAGCCCTTTCAACAGATGTAGAGAAGACTAGATAAACAGGTACAACTTCTGCAGAATTATTTGTTTAATCTCTGTGTATCATCTGAGGCTGATCACTTCACTGGGTATATGTAAGGGTTTACAACCACTTTAAAGTAGAATTCTAGGCTAAACCTAACTAATTTTAACAGTGTCCCCTTATCGAATGTATGCTGACTAACCTATACTTATGACTCTACCTATACCGTGACTGTATCTAAAGCCAGTTCTCCTGGTCCTGTGACTGTATCTAAATTTAAAATGGAACTTCACTCTTTCAATCAACATTGAAATCAACTTTTTAATCCTTATGCTGCTAGCATTATTACATGGATAGGAAAGTATATCATATGTACTTGTGTTAAACTTTTTTTTGTTTCTTTTTTACATTTCTTCAGTTACTTCCTGATTATGTCATACATCCCAGGAGTCTTCAGGGAGGGAGGGTTTTCAGCTCAGCCAATGCCTGAGCTAAGGGCAGATGGATTCCAGAAATTAAATGCTACATGAATCATCTGCACTTACTCAAGATGGCCACTGCCAGAAATGCCAGGGGGTGTTTTTCAAAATGATTTCTCAGCAAAATAAAGCCTGGAGACAGGGAAGTTTGCTTTGAATATTACCAAAGAATGAAATAATATTTTTGGTTTGTGGTGCTCAGATGCAGTGTAGTTCCATTTTATAGTAGAAATCCAGGCTAATCGTAACTAGTTTTAAAACTGTTATCTATATTCAGCTCATTCAAGTCTGGTCACTTGATCAGCTGAGTCGGTCAGCAATGCTGCAGGGGAGAGGAGAGAGAGCTTTACAACAGCTGGGAAAGCCTGAAGTGGTGACGTCACCCATAGGCTCCCATGTCCCCTCCATTATCGGCAGTTCCTTTCCGCAGGCTGACACAGGGAAGCCAGATCACCAGGCCAGAGTAGACTGAAAATAGGTCTGTATATACACTGTAGGAGTTAATGTTCATGTGACTGTCTCTAAAGTATATTTTCCTGGCCATGTGACTGACTAAAGTATATGCCTGACTGTATCTAAAGACAATTTTATATTTATTAGAATAGTGCAGGCTTAGAACCACTGTCAGGTTTTCTTTTTCTGTCCCTACTAGTGAGATTCACTGTCTTTGCCCTGGTGACCACTGGTCCGAGAAGTGACAGGCAAAATCCCAAGTTGTCACCAGTACAGAAATCTTTAGAATGGTTACAATTCTATATTTCTGTTTTGACCTGCAATCAGAAATGGGCATGATCTTGTCTTTGTTCAGAATGGGGTTCATGTCTGAACCTGGAAGCCAGCTGTCATTTCCTGGTGCAATGAGATGTGGTCATACTAGGTCAATGGCGTCACAATTATCCCTGCTCTTTGTAATGTGGGGGGGGGGGAATCCCATGCCCACAGCTTATTGGACCAGGAATGACAGCTGGCCTTTGGGTTTAGACTTCAGCTCAGTACAAAGTAGTAATTCTATATGGGTTCTACTGTTACCTTCAGAAGGTTTGTTAGTGTCCAAACCCATATGTCCAAGAATTACTATATTCCTGTTGCCCTTAATGGAAGGGAAAACAAATCCTGTTCCATAGTACTAGAATTGACTGGTTGGTTTGTTACAAATTAAACAAAATGTTACTTTGTTTAATTCTTTTATTAGATGGCACAGGTCTCCTCCCATCCTGGTGACTCCTGGCAGATTGTTTAGCAGCACACTCACTGCTATTTAGTACTGAACTATGTTTATGAATTACTGCTGTGCTTTGTTCACCTGTTGCACAATATCTGATTTTAGTGATGTCACTCAACTCAGGGGATTTCCAGCTGACTCACTGATCATATCTTCTGTGTGCTACTGCTTTGTGATGCTGCATTGGCCTGCTTTGTGATACAATATATCTCCGTTTATAAAGTCTGTTTCCTAGCCATCAGTTGGAAACCAGGACTGCGTGCGAGCAGCCAAGCTGTTTGCGCTCAACTGTCACGAACATTGTCTTCTTGGTATGTGGCTATGTATTGGCAAACGTTCACAGATTGCAGGCGGGAAGGGGTTAATGAAGCCTTCATAAAGAATTCCTATCATTCTCTTAGTCGGGTGTCAACCCAAATGTGATAGCAATGGAATATGACTATATAATTATAGTGTGTAGTGGTTCACCAAAATTAATATTCTGGTGCCGAAACCAATACCGAAAATTCAGAATGCATGTGCTTGAAAACCAAACCAAAATGCCTGCGTATATGGGGAGGCTCCAATTTATTTATTTTTCTACTTTTGTGTATATTTTTATTTAATTTTTTTTAAATTTATGATTTTATTGCTATCACATAGGGGACCAATAGTCCCCTATGTGATAGCATATGAGTGACAGGTCCTCTTTGTAGGGAGGGTGGGGAGAGCAGTGCAGTGGAGGGAGCAGTGTATACAGAGAGGCTCCATCACTGGCTGCCGCTATATGTTGGTACCGATTTTTTAAATGCAATTGCCGGCTTTTTTTTTTCTCTTCACAATAGCTCACAGAATTAGCTGTCCCTTTCCCCAGAGCTAAAGGAAACTTTTTTTTTTTTTTTTATCTGGGGAAAGAAACAAAAAGGAAACATTGTTTCTTTTAACTCAGGGAAATAAAGTAAAAGGAAACTTTGTTCCTTTTAGCTGGGGGAAAGTGACAGCTGATTCTCTGAGCTATAGTGAAGGAAAAAAAAGCCGGTAAGTACATTTAAAAACTGGCACTGACATATACTGACAGCCAGTCACTGTATTCACTGCTCCTCTGCTTCCTTTCTCCGCTGCCGCCGAACCCCCCCATCTTCAGTACACACAGACTCCTGTATGGCACCTGTACCGGCTAAATTTTTCCTATCAGCAAAATGCCAATTGGGCTATTTTCGGCCGATATGTTTCGGTGGCCGAAACTTTCGGTGCATCCCTAATAATGCGTGTTCTAAGAATATACATGCATGAACACTTTTTGCACCATGGGTATGGAAAGTGGAGCTTCACTGCATCTGAACACCACAAACCAAAAGCAACTATTGAATTCATTTTGAATATTGAAAGCAAATTCACCCATCCATACATGTCTCCATGCTTTATTTTGCTGAGAAATGACTTCAAAAAACACTGCTTAACATTTCTAGCTGTGGCCACCTTGAGCAAGGGCAGATGGTGCATTTAATGTTTACTACCTGGAATCCATCTGCCCTTAGCTCAGGCATGCAGGCAGGTGGGTTTGCTTAGCTGAGAAAACCCCTCCTGAAGACTCATGAGATGTATGACATAATTTGCTTAGGCAGGGACACCAGGATGTAACTGAAGAAATGTAAAAAAAAAAGGTTAAAACAAATAAACCTGATATATTTTCATATCTATTTATTCATGATAGCATCATATGGATTAAAAATAGTCCTTGTTGAGAGTGAAGTTCCGCTTTAAACAAATATTTAAAAATTTAAAGCTGTTCTAAAGCCGTTTTTCACCTTAATATCTTTTATGCATTAAGGTGAAAAACCTTCTGTGCTGCAGCTCCCCCTCCCCCAGTCCCCTTCCTTTTTCTTACCTAACCCCGATCCAGCCATGTGCACGAGAGCAGTAGCTCTAGCCACTCTCTCCCTCCTGCCTCCTCCCTGGGCATATTGACGGCAGCGGGAGCCATTGACTCCCGCTGCTGTCAATCAAATGCTGTGACACCGAAGTGGGGGGTGGGGCGAGCTGCCCACTCTGTGTCAATGGATGTAGACAGGGCGGCTCAGGAATGAACCTGCATGGGTGCCTCCATGGAAAGCGTTTTTCCATGGGGGCATCGGCCAAAGAGGAGGGGCCAGGAGCACCAGCGAGGGACCCAGAAGAGGAGGATCAGAGCTGCTCTGTGCAAAAGCATTGCACAGAGCAGGTAAGTATAGGTATGTTTGTTTTAATTTAAAAAAAAAAAATAAAAAATAAAAAAAAATGGTATAATATCACTTTAAAGGAGCTCTATGGTTGCAGCATACACTTTCATTTTTATATAATCAGTATTGTAACCGCAATACAAAAAATAGTTTGAATTTAACAATACATTTTAAACTTAATTGAAAAATCTCCTTTCATGTTGTAACTGCTGTCTTTCTGCTGTTCATCTTTCCACAACATCCTGGATTCCCTACATGCTTTGCAGCTTACTGTTTACTTTACTTTTCTAAGGACTACATATCCCATGGTACCTTGCTGCCTGCAAGCAGTGATTCCTGTACTGACTCTGCCTCTTGAACCCCCTCCTCTCAGCACCTCTATAGTTCAGAAGGCAGGCTCTGTGAAATGTGTGACATAGCAGTGTTTGCCCACAGGATATAGTAAATACATGTTACAAACTACAAGGGAGTTCTTCACAAAGTAAGCTTACAAACTTCAAGACTGTTCAAATGAATATGAATAGCCTAGAAATAACTAAAATACAATGTAGAAATGAATATAAGACTTTACATTTTGACCATAGATATGATTTAAAGATGAACCCAAGGCACAAATCATGCATCTGTGTAATTTAAAAAACGCAAGCAGTGCAAGTACTTGATTCTGATTGGGTCTCTGTACTGCATAGCTCAGAGAGGGAAAGAGAGAAACAACATAGGTAGGTATCATGTTTTCTGCAATGCAAAACGCATGCTGATATGAGGAGAGTTCAAGGTGACAGAAAAATAAACTAATTGCTGCGCTGCTTCTCCTTTCACTGTCCAGTCACATAGTGGGGTGTAGGGGAGGGGACATGTAAGTGAAGTGAAATTGTAGCAGAGAAATTTTATCTCCCATCCCCTTCTGGATAGAACTGTGCTGTGTGGCAGACCTGTTTAGATCTCAGGACTGGATGGATAGAAATATATATCCTATTTAGTTGTTTTCCTGGAGTTTAGCTTTAAGTAGTATTTAAAAAAAAATAAAGAGAGAAAAGCGACAGGTACCATTTATCTATCTGATTGTCTGTTTGCTTTAAAAACTAAAAACAAAAAGAGTAGATTTACATCATTGTGAATTTCTTCTTTATTTGTTGTTTTTTGATACACTGTTTACTAGTTGCTCATCACATTGTGTGTAAAACTTCTGCACTTCATTTCAGAGCCCTTGGGGTTTACCTGCAAAGCCTGTGAATCAGTGCTCCTTGGCGGACGTCATGAGTGAAGAGCTGGCCAGAGAGCTGCAGCTAGAGGAAGAGAGACATGTATTCCCAGAAGAAGTGCTGTAAGTTCTATATCGGCCTCAGTCCTCTCATTTTTTAACTCTATTATTCCAGGTGATCACTAACTTGAAACTGATGTTGAATAAATCTATTGCAATATATACAATCTGTACAAATATACATTTTTCATTATATTTACTGTATTTGTGCAGATTCTTAATTCAGACTTTTCTTATTAGCTCTTTAAGCAGGCTTGAAACCTAACAGAAGAAAGCAGCCACACTGCTCATGGACAACATATATCCTTTATTAAATGAGAAGTAGGGCCAAAGCTCCTTTGTCCTGCACTCCTGTGACGTTACTCAGCTGTCAGCTGATATCACTGAGCTGGTGCAGACTCTGGAGAGATCTCAGCATTTAAATCGGGATCCACCGATTGCTTAGATCAACAGCTAGCTCAGCCTCTCCAACCTCCTCCACCACTGGCACCACAGCACTGGAGGGGCAGAGCAGAGAGCGATCAGCGGTCTTGGATCTCGAGTACTCGGTTTTAGAGGTGGTGGGGGACAGATGCAGCATTGGATCAAAAGTGATTTAAAAGGAGAAGTTCAGGAACTACAAAAAACCCCCACCATACTCGCCTTGCTGGATGCAGCATTGGATCAATGCTGCATCCAGCTAGGTGAGTGGTGGTGTTTTTTTTTTGTTTTTTTTTTTTTTTTTTTTTTTGCTCCTGAACTTCCTTTTTAAATACAGTATGGGAAAACCTAATCCCCCTAAAACAATTCAAAGTCCTATGCAAGTAATGCAGGAGTTATTAAAAAATAAATGCCAGTTGAAACTGGTGTATAAACTACCAAGTGCATATAAATTAGAATATTTGTATCCCGGCTGGGCAATATGGAAGCACGATAAGTTCACTAACAGTGGCATTGTACTTTTAAGATTGTATTAAGCAGTTATTGTTTTTTATGGGGTTCATCCTCCTCCTTTTATGCTAGATACAGTAAGCAGTTATTATTTTTTATGGGGTTCGTCCTCCTTTTTATACTGGATACACTTACCAATGTGCCTTGTCAGCTGAATCTGTTAACCTACATATTTTTCTTTTTTAGTGCTGATGAAGGTGCTTTCCTAACAAGTGAGAACATTGATACATCAAGTGATGCTGTGTTGGCTCAGATGCTGCAGATGCAGTTTGACAAGGAGTATGATGCTCAGCTTCTCAGAGAGGAGAAGAAATTTAATGGTGACAGTAAAGGTAAAGTGGCCTAATGATGAAAACAGTATATGGCCAAGAATATATAACTTTGGCCCCTTTCACACGAAGAGTCCGATCAGGTCCACCTGTCAGTTTACCAGGCAGATCTAATTGGACCCTCCAATAACCCCTATGGACTGGCGAGTGTAAACTGACTTGTGCTCTTTTATACCTTCCTACCTCCAATCCGATCAATTCCACGGAACAGGATCTGTCCCCCTTTGTCTAGGCAAATCAGATCTGAGGGTAGTCGGGTGTAAATGGACAGGTGAAGTCAGTTTATATCCGCCAGTCCATAGAGAAGAGTGGCCTCGGTCTGTGTCCACCCTGAAAAAACTGAACAGATATGGACCTGTCATTCGTCCTTTCTGCTATGATCAGCAGACAGATCCCCTTTCTGATCTAATTTGAGTCTGCCCCATGTGAAATTAAACGTGGAACTCTGATGTTGTTTGCAGTTTCCATATCCTTTGAAAACTATCGCAAGGTGCATCCGTGTGAAGATAGCGACAGCTCAGAGGATGAAGTCGACTGGCAGGATACACGCCATGACCCATATAAAGCTGGTGAGAATACAGATGATGCTGTATGGTGGCTATAATTATACTCTGTTGAGACCTCATACTAGATTCCTGGCAGGATGCCACTTCAAGCTCTACAATTTAAATTCTGATACTCCTATTGGTCTGGGTCATTAGTAAAATACGTTGTAGCTGTCGTCCCACCTGTAGGTTTGTTCAGAACCAGTTTTAGACCTTTAAATGGACCTTAACCCATAACAACTTGATAAAAAAAATGTTCTTTAGCAAGGAACATACATTCCACATTAATATTTATGCTACCAAAATTAGTGTGTGCTGTAAATTGCCTCCAGAATTCCTGTTTCTTGTAGTTGGAGGCTACCATTTTGCTGAAGCCCAGAACCCCCGAGCAGCAGTAAACCTTTAGGCTGTCAGCAGATCAGCCTCTACATTTTCAGCACAGTGCCGAAAAACTGAAAGCAACTGAGCATGTGACAGTGCATTACTAGACTTAAATTTCTGACTAAAGTTCCACTTTAAACACAGAAGTTAATTTATTGTAAATGCTTTGCCTAAAGAGATTTGGCAAACATTTAACAAGGTACATAAAGCTGTTTTGACAATCTTATGACAGTGTAAATGTTTTAGGACCTCTCAAAGTGATCACAGTACTGTCTCTGTCAATACCTTCATCTACTTTCCTGTTCAGAAGGTTAGTGCCATTTACTTCTGAGCCAAGATTATTATTATACAGGATTTATATAGCGCCAACAGTTTGCTCAGCGCTTTACAATATAATGGGAGACAATACAGTTCAATACAAGAGGGATAGGAGGGCCCTGCTCCTTGGAGCTTACAATCTAGGAATGTTGGTACAATCATGTTAATCCTAGTGCCCTGTGCAGGACAGAGATACGGGACTTGCCACTGCTACACTGTTTTTGAGGATGCATGTCCTGGGGCTGTCATGCTTACTTGGCTGTTTGGTAGTGCTAGTCAAACACACCTATTTCTCTTGTTCAAACCTTGGGCTTAGTGAAGAAGAAATCTTATAGACTCCTACACCCTTGCTAAACCGTCTATTATATTCAAGGAGCCACAGCAGCATGACTACTTGAACAGTGACTACTTCTGATAGGATGCAGTCCCTGTTCAGCCATCTGTTTTCCATTTGGCTCCTTCAATTTCTTTAATTTTTTTTCTGCCGAGTCTGATGGTGCTGAAATTTCAGCTGTGTATGGCCTGCTTAAGTCACTAACCTGGAAGAATGAGGTGTTTATTAGTTATCGGTACAGCTAATGTGCACTTGTTTTACCTTTTTTTTTGGTTCAGTGACACAATTATGAATTGGGAATTAGGATTGATAGTCCCAGAGCATGCAGCTTAAAAAAAAAACAGATTGCTTGTATCCTGAGAGACTCCTTCTAAGCTGTTATTGATGGGAGTCGCTACAACGAGGCTTCATTACAGTGTGAAAGCATCCATTGTCACTTTGGAACCAATGGAAGTTCATCAGTCATTATGTCAATCACTTTTGTGATGAAAATAAGAAAAACGTTCTTGAAATGTTAGTGATTCAAAAATATGTTCCAATGATGTTCTCATATGTTCATATGCAGATAAACCAACCACCACCCCTAAAAAAGGATTCATTGGTAAAGGTAAAGACATTACAACCAAACATGATGAGGTAGTGTGCGGCAGGAAGAATACAGCTCGGATGGAGAATGTAAGCAGAGGAGAATGCTCTTGTTATATACTGTTTTGAGGAATAGCGACATACCAAATTATTTTTATTTACAAGATATATTTATTTGACCCATTGATGTATTACTGACCACTTTTTGCAAAGCACTAGACGCCATTTTTCATATTATTGATATTGACCTTGGATTTGAAAGAGCTTACAGTGTAACATCTCAACCCCAGTCATTTGCTCACAAGAATTTTCACAACAGCCATTTTGATAAAGGCAGTTGACTTACTGAAATTTGGGTTGTGGGAAGAACCTAGAGTATCCAGAGTGCTGCTTCCAATTATTTTACCATGTCTCTAAATAAAGGTAACCCTATAGTAAAACTAGAATTATGAGACTTTACCAAAATTGGAGCAGGCAGAATCTGGGGCAGCTTTGCATGGCAACCATTCAGCTTCTAGCTTTCATTTTCAAAGATTAGCTGGTTGCTATGCACAGCTGCGCCATATTCTGTCTGCTCCAGTTATAGTAAATTTCCCTCAATGTGTTTTGTAGGTTACACACGCTCGCACCTGAACTTGCTTGATCTTTTATATCAGTTTTTAATTACTTATATAAATTTGTTTTAATAACCTTTCTTTGCAAAAATGAGAAGTCAGCAATAAAATCTTCCATTCTTCTTTAAAGAACTAGCAGGCTGGCTATCATGCTGACTTTATTCAATATGTTTTTAACTAACCTCCTAAACAATTAGCAGAGAAGGCCATGTGACTTTTCTAATCTGTCTGCCAGCAGCTCTGCACAGAGGGCGGCCTTAATCGCCCATCTGAATAAGCTCTTAAAATCAGCATTATATATATATATATATATATATATATTTTTTTTTTTTTTTTGCTAGAAAATTAGTTAGAACCCCCAACCCATTTTAAAATTAAAGTGCAGAAAACAGGAGGTTAGCAGACCCGAAACCCATGCTGAGTGTGTTGAATATGAAATGTTCATATTCAGTTTTTCATTGTTACATGATTAAAAATATGAAAAAAAAATTTTATATAAAAAAGTCAAAATGGAAAAAATGCTATACATTCCCTTTTTAACAGCTACGTTCAAACACTGCTGAACGCGTTAGCCTGGGTGCCTGAATGCAACTTTGAAATCGCGCTGCTTCACTTGAATTAGTGAATGATCAGTGCGATTTGTACCTCCAATTTCACTGCGGCTTGCAACGTAACTTCATTTAACAGAAGTTAATGCAAGTTGCAATGAAATCGGGAGGGGAAAAAAAAGTAGTGCAGGAATTATTTTTGAAATCGCGCTACTTCAAATCACACTGATTAAGAGTACAATAGAAATACATTAGATGCGACTTCAGGTACGATTTGTAAATTACATGTTGCACCAGTGTGAACCAGGGCTTAGCTAGCATTCGGTCAAATGCTTAGGTCAGCTTTATCTTCGAATGCCAATACTTAGAAAGAGTTTTCGTGGTTAACTTAGTGGAAAGTTTTTTTTTTTTTTTTTTTTTTTTTTTTTTGTATTCTGAGAGAGCAAATTTGATTAACTATTTAATTAGAACCGATAGAATATGCTTCATATTTGCTGTAATATATTAGTAAAAATTTCCAGAATGTGGTGAACCTAACCTTTATTTAAATCTTTCAGTTTGTCCCAGAGTTTCAAGTTGGAGATGGAATCGGAATGGATTTAAAGTTGTCCAATCAGGTTTTTAATGTATTAAAGCAACACTCCATCTCTGAACAGCGCAAAAGTGCCAGAGTGCATGACAAGAAGGAAGTGTCAACAACTGTAAGTCCAACACTGTCATCTCTTTACATTATATTACTCACATGCATTCTGTTTATGTAGATGGCTCTAAAACTTCCTGATTTAATGTGTTACAGGAAAAAGTGGTGGATCCAAAGACCAGACTGCTTTTGTACAAAATGGTGAATGCTGGGATACTGGACACCATTAATGGATGTGTGAGCACTGGAAAAGAATCATTTGTGTTTCATGCTAATGGAGGAAGGTATGGGGATAGTAAAAGCTTGAGTCTTAAAGGATTGGTTACCCAAACGTGATATTTCAGTTGTGGCGAGTTGAACCAAATGTCATTGTCATATATCTCTTGGCGACTATTGGTGAGAGTTCTGCATGTTGGCTCTTGGATCTGCATTTGCAGGCACAAAGGTCATGCTGTTGTATTATTCAGGTACTAGAAGCTCACTCAGATCAGTGTTCACCTATAACTAAAATATTACTTTTGGGTGGATTAGACTTTGAAATGTTCTTACCTGCCATGCCATTGTTTAGCTTATATGTTGATTTTTGTTTTTTTTTATTTCCAAAGCCTGGAAGACAAGGCAGTACCTGCTGAATGTGCCCTAAAGGTTTTCAAGACAACTCTAAATGAGTTTAAGAACAGAGACAAATATATTAAGGATGATTACAGGTTCAAGGATCGTTTCAGCAAATTGAATCCACGCAAGATCATCCGAATGTGGGCAGAAAAGGAAAAGCATAACCTGAAGAGGTATGCAGAGCTGCATGCGGTATTGAAGTATATCAGAATGAAGCAGTGGCAGGTGGAGGAGGATTGCTAGAGATGAGGGTTGATGGCATGTTAAAAATAAATATGCAGAGCTTGAGCCATGGTACCAATCAACAAATGTATTCATATTACTGCCTATGTGTGCTGGCTATAAGGTAGTGACTTTTACTGGACCACAAAAAAGTTTCAAAGAAAGTGAGAAAAAAGTGCATACTTGTTGTGTAGATTGGGAGTCTGGGAGCTGAAAAGCACATATAGCCATGAGTCTGACCAAATGGGTTTATTACTCTTGCTTTTTTTGCCCTCGTAGCCATTCTGAGGAAAGGTTGATGTCCTCAAGCATGTCCTGTCATTTTTGCACTGATGTTACTGACACTTGTTTTAGATGGCTTGGTCACATCAGCAAGCCATACACTAACTGATGCTCAGCAAGTAGCTAACCGCAAATGGCACAAAACAAATCTGTGTAATATTTTGTGATGTACTGTATAACAATTTCTCTTTCTACATGTGTTCTTGTACAGAATGGGGAAAGCTGGCATTCCTTGCCCAGAGGTTGTTATGTTAAAGAAGCACGTTTTGGTCATGTCTTTTATTGGGAAGGATCAGGTACCTGCCCCCACCCTTAAAGAAGCTAAGCTTGGTTTGGAGGACTCCAAAGCTGCTTATTACCAGGTCCTTGCTGTAAGTTTACATTTCTTATGACAGTACAGTATTGGTTATAAAACTGGCATTTGGGCTGAGATGGTGCAGTACGGCATTGATTTGAAGTTTAGAGCATGTTTAGGTTTATTGATTTGTCTCTTTGCTTTTAGATGATGAAGCAGCTTTACCACCAGTGCAATCTTGTTCATGCTGATCTCAGTGAATATAACATGATGTGGCATGATGGGAAGGTAAGTGCATTTGCTTACTCAGTAGCTGAGTCTGAAGATGCAGAGATAATAGATACACATATTAACATAATAAATTCTGTATCATAATAACTGCCTTTTTACGGTCTTAGTTTTTGGCTAACTTGAGATCGTACGTTATAATACTGCTCGTGTAATTATCTATTTTTGAACTTGAAAGGTAAATGCATTTATTTTGTAAGATTGGTTTATTAAAGGTTTTGTTTCATTTGGGTGCGTTAACCAGAATTTTTTTTTTTTTTCCCCTACAGGTGTGGCTTATTGATGTAAGTCAGTCAGTTGAGCCTACACATCCACACGGACTGGAGTTTCTGTACAGGGACTGCAGGAATGTATCACAGGTACATAACGATTGAACATTTAAAGAACAAATCTGTGGTGGATTGTAAGCAACACGTAAAGAAGAATTACAGGCATGGTATATTACATTTTTCCAGATTGGACCAATGTTACTATGCATACACCACACCTGGCCAATGGAAATCAATCAAGAGACCGCTTTGCATTTTCTCATTGGACGAGGAGGAGAGCATTAGTCACCGCACCGCCTCTCCACTTCATCCAGTCAGGGAATGCTTTGCATTTATTCAGAAAATGCAAAGCTTTCTCAGAATGGTAGCCAACCTTCTGTATTCACAAGTTCGACACAGGTCCCATAAGCTAGTGGACATCACTGGAGTATCCGTGTCTACTTTTAGTGTTTTCCAGATTCCAGGGGTATTAGCCAGGTAAGGTGTATATACATGGTCCAAGCTATAAAAATTTAACAATATACCATGCCTGAAATTCATCTTTTATAGCTAAATATTTTTAGAGGAATAATGAAGTTCGCCTGTAGTTTTGATATCAGAAAATACTCTTATTTACATAATGACTCTCTAAAGTGCCTTCCAAAATACAGACTTGAGATTATGAGAGAATATGCTTGTCCCTCCTGGATCTCGCCAGCATGGCTGTTAACATGTCGGGAGCATCATATGATCAAAATTTTATTTATCCTCCTTGTTCTGCATTCTTCATTTTTGGTGTGTTGCTCTGCATTTTGCGAGAAGCTACGCATCTGAAAGTGTGTTGCTGTACATGTTAACACAGTGCATCTGATGTGAAAAACGGATTTTTATACTTGGTATCCTCTGTCAAGGTGGTGACCTGGGCTGGTGGTCATGGCTGCAGACACAGATTACATGGATACAAGAGAGTTTAGGGCAGGCAACTGACACTGATAACCAGAATACAAGCCAGAGATCCGGTCAGACAGCAGACACTGATAATCAGGAAAGAGTTCAGAGCATGGTAAACAGGAATCAATAGGATAAAGGTGCAGACTGGATAACAGAAATGCTCACAATGGCCACTGCAGCTAGCTTGAGACAACATTGCTTGGGTAGTGAGCTGGAAACTGAATAGTTAAAATAGACCAGGCAGTGGGAGAAAGCCAGTATGATTGGATGCAGCAATAACAGGCCAAAGACTGCAATACTCTGTTAGGATTCAAGTGTCAGGGGAAAATGATAGGGGAAACTGCACTGCTCTCATTGGATACCAATTGCTGATATGTCCTGCTCATATAGTAATGCAGCATTGATATCACTTTTGTTATAATATTTGTCTGGTTATTTTCTTATTTCCATAGCTTTGGATAGAGATGGGGAAGGATAACCATGTCAGGTTGTCTTTACAGCTATTCAGGGCCCCATTAGAACAATTTCCCCTCACTATTCTCTTGACTATGATTTCACCAGACAGGAAGTAAAGAAAAATCCCCACCAGCAACAGGAGAGAGAGAGCACGCACAATGATTCAAATTAGAAGAGCAGGGAAGGAAGAAAGCCATTTCAGCATTTTGCCTTTCTTGCGTTTTTTGTGTTCCAGATTTCCTCCATTACATGTTCAAAGAAACAATTGTCACTGAGATAGTAAATGAGGAAATCTCTTTAATGATTCCCTGGATAACCGTAAAATCCGTACAGGAAGCTTTATCTTTCCCTACTTTCTTTTCTTCCCTATTTCATCCAAAACTAAAATAAATGGTTTTGGTTGCTAATACGTAAATGGCTTGCAATTCACTTTTTGCTGAAGTCTTTCCACACACCTAGATCTGTTTAATTGACTAAGATATTCTTTGTACTGCTCCCTAGTTCTTCCAGAAATGTGGTGTTGCAGAGACTCCCCATGAACGTGAACTCTTCAATATGGTCTCTGGCCTGAATATAACCTCTGATAATCAAGTGGATTTCCTTGCAGAGGTAAGCAACATTGTGGTTTATTTGTATATTATGTGCTGAATAAAAAGACCTAACATAACCTCCATGCTGCAGCTCTGCATGGCTTTGTAGAATAAGAAAAGGTCAAATGAAAAGACATCTTGTTCACTGTCAAAGGAAATCTAGTTTAGGTATTGAAAATTAAATTAAACATACTCTAATAGTGTTTTTATATAATACAAGCAATTTTGTCATTTGTGTACAAAAATAATGTGTATGTGTGTGTGTCAACACACTGACAGCAGATAATAGGGGCATATCTAGACAATATACAAAGAAAAGCATATCATGAATTTTCACTTGCATCGCATAAGGGGCATCCTTTTGGGAGCTTCCAAATGTGCCTTAAAGGGTAATGGCAAAAAAAAAAAAAAATAGCATATACAATTGCAACAGAAGTCCTGTTGTAATTGAATATTATTAAAAAGTGCCTTTCCTTTTCAATCAGCAGCGTTGTAATTTTCTATAATATGCAATATGGCTACTTGGAGGTGTTCTGTACACAGAATGTGTACAGAACACTCCCCAGAAAACATAACTTCTTGCTTGTGTGATTGGGTCGCTGATTTTCCAAGAAGTCTACATTAACAAGTCAGATTTCTGGCACTCCCTGCAACAAAAATGTCATTTTTGTTGTGATACACCTAAAGGGAAATCATGTCTAAAGGGATGCAAGCCCAGTAATCTTCCTCATTGGAGCCCTGCAGCTGCAACAGCTGATTGATAATTGGGAATCACTCCCATTCCCATTTATTTTGCAAACCTCTGTCTCTTCAGAATAACAAGAGGCAGGAATCTGAAGTGTGTTTAAAATCCTTTTAATGTATATAGATCGCCTAGAGGGGATTTTTTGTTTTCTCCACAAAAGTGGAGTTGTGTTTTAAACAGTGCACATTAATTGTAAAATTATCCTTTTTGCTTTAGGCCAAATAGACTCGGGTAAATTCCCCCCTCCCATTCCCTTTGCTCCTCTACTGCTGTGTTTGTTCATTTAAAGCAAAGGGAGATACCCAGTACTTATTGGTATGGGGAAGCATCTGACTCTCTAATCTTTTTCCCACTAGTCCCTGTGGTGTTACATGGCATGGGGACGATACCTCCACCCTTCGTAAGTTCCAAGTCACTTGCTTAGCAGCAGGTGGCTAAGGGAAGATGAGAATTTTATGCTGGGGAAGGGAAAAGTTAGGCTGGCCATACATTATACAATTTTCTTGAGAATACCAAAAACCATATAATATGAGGTCAAACCTAAACAACACTTTCTATTGTATCCATTTAGGCAGGCCCTTGCACTACATAATTGAAGGTAAATCTAAAGTAAATTGGACAGAAAAATTTAAAGAAAATTGCATAGTGTATGGCCAGCCTTAGGTGCATGTTTATCTATGCCCTGTAAAGGGTTTGGGAACTCGTTCCCACAATTCCGGGATTTTCACCTAAGCGAGAATGAAGTTCCCAGATGCCTGCAGCCTCTTGAGATACCATGCTTTGAATCCCAGGAGGCTTTTGGGGTACTGTACAGTACTTGTGCTGCGGCTTGTCACCAGGAAGAGACAGCCAGCTTCCAGATAATGTGAAAGAGAAAGATGGCAACGAGGGACCCAGTGTGCAGCAGTGATCTTAGGTACTGCAAAGCTGGATTTTCTGGGCATGTTAGTATGTGTTTTGTTTTATGAAGGACAGCCAGGTGAAAAAATGGTAATATGGAATTAAAAAAAAAAAAGAAAGGGGGAGGGTTAAGAGTTCTCAGGTTTATAAAGCGAAGAATGTTGTATTCACCAAACTTTTATTGCAGGCCAATTGGTCACTAAAACTTAAACCGCATGCGCCAGGAAATTACACACGCAGTGACGGTTTGGTGAATGTCACATTTATCACTTTATAAGTGTGTAGTAGGGAAGGGGAGCCTTTTCAAAGGTTTGAAATATTTTCAAGTTAATTCTACGCTTCTAAGAAATTAAACGTTATTTATTTGTGTATCTTGTCTCCTTTTAGGTGGTATCCAACATGTTCATGTTTGGAATAATAGGTCCTTATTTATCAGAGTGTCTGAAATTAGAATGATCTGCATTACCCTGAAGCAGCTAGTTGGAATAAACCTTTTCTTCGTCAGCTGTTTTTTTTCCCGTTTTTAAGCTTGAATCTAACTTGGTGTTGTTGGGACAACAGACATTTGTGGTCCTTTACCCAGTTACCTTTTAATTTGTAGTAATGCACTTAATTCTCTTTCCACTAGATTGAAGCCCTGGAGAAAATGAATGAAGATCATGTTCAGAATCATTCAAAGAAGGTTTCTACATTCCAGAAGGATGATGATGGACCCCCCAGAATATACGATGAATAACCCTGCTGTGACGCCCATGCAGAGTTACTGAACAAAAAAAGGCAAAAAAAGGTTGTCTTCTCCGGACGACATTCACGCAGTGCTTCATTTCCCTGCCATATGCAGGTTGGAAGTGCTGATACAGATCACCATTCACCCTAGAGAACACAGTTCCCGATCTAGAGTATGTCTGCTTACAAGCTTCCAACATGGTTTGGCATGGCACAGATGTGCAGACTTTGCTCTGCAAGTTTTTAAAGATGGTTCAATTGCTTTGCTACTCAACAAGCCATGTGAAAGCGGATGGGTTGATCCTAGAAAAGTGTGTTTAGGGTGACTGGTTAAAAAAAAAAAAAATAAATATTGTGAGAGTGAAACAATTTTACTATGGAGTTGAGAGTGAAGGGGAAAACAGTTTTGCTCCAAATTTTGGTTTGAGCAAATATACGCTTTGGTAACTTCTGGAATTACAAGTAGTTGTCCGAAGGGTGCTGACACTTTTATTAAATAACTATATCTATATCTCTCAAAACATCTGAGATAATAAAATCTAAAAATATATTAACTTGAATAGTTTTTTGTTTTTATACAATATTGATATTAATAATAATCTGATCCTTTGACTCTAATCAGCCTGTAGTCTAAAAGTTATATCTAGAAAATAACAATGATGTGCTTTTTACTAAAGTTTGTCTTTACTAATATTTAATGACTACTACATAACAGACATAATTGTAATGTATCAGTGTAATCTCCAGGTCTGAAAAAT